GTTTAACGCCAAATTTGGACAACAGGAAGCTGACATAATTTTCCAATCACTGGGTAGTTTTCAGGTGAGACAGTTGAATGTGGTCTACATAACAATTATTCAAACATCAGGCAAATTCATGTCACAATGGTGGAATCAAATCGGGTGAGCTTAAAACGATTTGCAAAGATTCTGACGATGGTTTTTGACCAGGACAACAATCCGAAGGGCATTTCAAGTAATTAGAAAGTAATTTTTACAGTAATCTGGAAATTAGAAGCGAAAAACTGAGGTAAACAAACTTACGTGAGTCTTCGCACTGGGTCACCCATTTTAGCACATGTTGTTCAAATGCAACTAAATTCCCTTCGGTTCATCCTTTTTACCTTAAGAATCTTGGCTATTGATTAAATTATGTTCATGTCAGTTTTTGATAGTGTAGAGCTCAGAAATCTTGAATAAAGGCTTCGTTTTGTTGACTTTTTGTTGTGAAATAAATATTAACGTGAGACTGACTGGGGGTTTCCATAGTAACGGAAATGCGCTATGCTTGTTTACGTCCAGAAAAAAATCGTAGTTAATTTGAGATCGTGTCATTTTTAATTTGGTTTTCGGGATACATTTGGTTATAGATCAGGGAAAATGCTTTGACACTAATTCTGAAAATAGAGTGTTCTAACAATATTTTTGGTTTTTCAGCCATTTAACCTTTTATATTTAATTCTATGGTTTAAAAAAAAATTTTCAGGATAATATTAGCTTCCATGATGGCAAAGGTTTTTTTTTTCTAGAAAGTATATTTTATGCCCTTTCTAATGAGATATTACAGGCTACAGTGCAGTAAATACTTGTAGAAATATTAGCTAAAGAATATGATAGGTTAATAATTAACGAAAACCTCCCATTGACAATGAGTTAATTAAACCATCATCATTTAATTTGAACCATGTAGATTCATTGATGAAAACAAGTTATTTACCTACTGTATGATCAAGTTATGTCCTGAAAGGGAAGTAAGCTCCCTCCTGTAGTCTCTTGCCACAGGGTTAGGCTGAGCTCGAGGGTGGAAAATAACTGACGTTCTAAGCAAATCAAGTTGTTGACTGTGTAAAGTTGAGGTTGTTCTTTGCTAACATAGTTTTGCTTGTATACAGATTACTGGCTTTTTGCACAGTATCCGTGATGCTGCCAAACAGGTAACAGAGCAAACAGAAAATTCTACAGTGACAAATAAAGAGAATATTCCTGAACAACCAACAAACAACAGTAACAAAAGCAGTCCAAATAATCCTAGTGAAAGTGGGGACTCTCAAGCTGTTATTTTTCCATTGTGGTATGTTGGAAGAGTGATTGTTTCCCATAGACAAGCTCCTCCCACTCTTATTGACAACCTGGTGGAGAGATTTAATCAGCGTAAAGGAATGAGTGAACTTGAAAAAGAGCTGAATGGACAAAAGAGTGAACAGAAAGAAAGGGGTTCTAATACAGTCAGTCACATTGAACATCATGCTAAACAGCATCAAGCAGTTAAAAAAGCAAAAAGCTTTGATGGTGAGGAAATGGTTGGTGGAACAAACGATTGTAAAGAAAACCCGTCTGAGGTCGGGAAGCACGGAACACTACTAAGAGTTGACAGTATAGGTGGAAGGCCCAGGTCTGCGAGTGATGGTGACAAATCAAACAACATTTATTCTTCT